ACTAACTAACTAACTAACTAACTAACTAACTAACTAACTAACTAACTTAACTAACTCTGAATAGAAGAGAACAACCTTCTTTTAAATTCCCTCCATCTAACCAACTAACTAACTAACTAACTAACTAACTAACTAATTAACTAATTAACTAATTAACTAATTGACTAATCAACTTAACTAACTAAACTAACGCCTGAATATCTGAGGCCTTTGAGGCCGGGGCTGCTCACCCGGAGGCGTCCTGCTCCTGCTCGGCCTGCACCATGTTGCGGAGGCTGGCGTCGGCCAGGGCCTGGGTGAAGTGCGTGTAGGGGGCCATGAAGCAGTAGTGGTAGAGGCCGGGCCTCAGGCTGGAGGAGCCCAGGCGCAGAGCCTTTCCCTGGGACCGGCTGGGCCCGCTCAGCACGCTCTCGCACTGGGAGGCCAGGTTGGTGCCAAACAAGGTCTTCAGCAGCTAAAGACGAAAACAACAACACACAGAAAGTCATCTACTAGTCAGAACTAAACAAGCTAAAGCTTCTATCGTAACCCTAACCCGTACCTTTACCCCCCCACAGCTCCTTCTGTAGTCCCTCTACCTCTATCTCTATCTCACCACTGACTCTGATCAGTGTTTCTCCTCTGTATAGCTTATTGTCATAGTGATGATAAATGTAATATTGTGTCTACTCTGTACGTCGCTTTGGATAAAAGCGTCTGCTAAATGCATAAACATAAACACATAAACATAAAGCTTCATTTCAGTTCCAGGCTCTTACAATCTGGATCAGTCTTCCTGAAGATGTGTGACAGACCTCAACTCTGACAGTGTTTAACCATGTAATGCCAAATGTGTCATATTTGATTCATACGGTTTTTGAAATGTTTTGTGTCTGACACCTTTTGCATGATTTAACTGGTAAAAACTTTGCTCAAAATCCTATTGTACACAATCAGATACACCTGATAACAGGGGGTCATTTTCTGTTTTGTTTTATTCTTGGATCAGGCTTTAAAGGGTTAAATCCAGGCTGAAAACGCTTCTGTTTAACTGTACATGTGGAAATTCAACGTATTTTATCTGCACCCTTCACTTTTCATCTGTCTAATTTCTTGTTTTTCTGCTTTTAAACTCTCTGTGAAGCACTTTGAATTGCCTTGTAAACGAAATGTGCTTTACAAACAAACTTTCCTTGCCTTGCATAACAAAAGCTAGAAAAATTGTATTGATTTTCAGGCTGGATCTGGAATAGCATCGTTAAAAATTTAAGTTTGATTCAGTTACATAACTTTGTCACATTGGTCAGTGAATTTTCCTGATTTATTGTGAATGGACGTGGTAAAGGTAAGTGAATAGCTATACAAAATGACCATCTTTTTAAAATGTATGGATCCATCGCACAGGGAAACCAAAGCCTTTACAGGCCCTGTCGGCAGGAACCAGCTCACTCTGTGTGGAGTCCCACAGGCCGCAGCACACTGCTCAGTGCTCCACCCAAAATGACCGCCACACACAACTACACAACTACTAATGTACCAGAGGCAGAAAACACAGAGGTTACAGACCTGCTGCACACAAACGGTGGCCATCGTTGGTTCTCTGGAAAAGCAAGACTTCAGGTAGCCCAGGATTTCCTCCACGCACTGATGAAGAAAAAACACAACCTTCTATTGATTTCAGGTAATATTTATAATGGTTATTTATGCTTGTATATCAACTAGGGATGTCCCGATCAAGATTTTTTCACTTACGATCCGATCCCAGCCTATCAGAGCATGTATTAAAGTCTAAAGTTATTTATTCTACTTACTTAGTTGTCATACTCATGTTGAACAGGGATTTACTCAGATAACAACTAGCAGCTGAATTAGGGGAGTTTGAATAAAATATAACTGGTAGGTAAAGAAACATTACACAAAGAGACATAAACACAAAATGGGATCAAATAATACCACACAACTGACATTTTTTACCGATAGCTTCAAATTAACATGGCTGTCTTAATGGTCAGGACACAGACCTGTGAGTCAGGAGATGCTAATGCTAATGCTCGTGAAAAAAACTGGATTGGGATCCTGGATCTGCATTTTCTCCTGCTGGCCGATAGCATTTTTTTGCTAATATCGTAGGCTGATCCGATCCAGATATGGAATCTGGACAAGCCTAATATCAATTCAATATCAAATATCAATATCAAAATGACCCCAGAGGCTGTTCCCACCTTGCCGATGTCGTGTAGTGTGGCCAGCTCCAGCAGCTGGGACAGGACGTCCAAAGAGGCCCGCAAGAAGCCTCCAAACTTCTCCTGGCTGCTGTACAGATCCAGGGTCACCTGGAGGGAAACACGGATTATTTCCAAACAAAGTTTCCGGACGACGGCCGTGTTTGGACGCGGTTTGGATGAGTCCTCACCTTGTAGTTGGCGTGCGTTGCTTTGAGGACATCGTAAAGCTTCAGGTAGGGGGGCAGGTGGTAGAAGCTTCCCAGGGTGGTGGATTTGTTCATAGCTGTGGAGGCAGTGCTGTCTGCAGGCCTGCCTGCTCAAAATAGCCCCCAGAGGGAAGGAGTGGTCAGAAGAGAGCCCATCTGAGTGGGTATTGGAGGACGGTGAATTGGGAATATACCTGCGTTTGCATCACTGCTTTTCTTTGGGCTCATGGGGGCCGCGCTGGACTCAGAGGCCTCCTTCTCTTTGCCTTTCCTTCGAATAGGACTGAGGGAAGGGGTGTTGCTCAGAGAGGGAAGTGCGGCCTGAAAATTAAAAAACTCAACTTAACTCATTGGATGACAAAGACGTCTATAGACGTCAATTCAAATACAACCGTTGACTGCCAAAGACGTCTATAGACGTCTTATGTTTTTCAACAAGAGTGGCTGGGGGACGATCTGCTAAAGCTTGTCCGTAAATATCGGCTTCTAGACAGAGTATATAGTAACAAATTGACCCTCTAGGGGGCAGTGCCACTTTTGATGGGAGATGAGCATAGACTGTAGGCAAATAAGAAAAAGGTAACGGTTCGCTATGAGAGAACATGGCGCCAGTGAGACGCAAGTAGAGGAAGAACGGAATAAGGTAGAAACAACCTTTTTTTCCTGATGAAAGAAGAGAGTCTACTCTTTCTTTTGGTGTGTTCGGTGTTTACATAGTCATAGCACAAACTATTCTGTGGCTCTTGAAAAATCAGTCAAAATGCTCAAAAAACTCTGGCAGTATGGGACTCTCTGTTCTGAAAATGGCTGGCAGTCAATGAGTTAAAAGAGAAGATTTCACAAGTCGACAAATGCCAATAAAACCTGGTTTTGACATCTATTCCCATTGCCAGGAAATCAAACAGAACGTCACAGTGTTAGACTCGCCTTGGCGGCCGGGCCTGGCGATGTGTCGTCCAGCACGTGGGCGCAGATGTTCAGGACCTTGAGCAGGTGGGAGAACAGCTGCTCCACCATGGCCACCAGCGGGCGTTCGGAGAGCGCCGCCCAGGGCTCCTCCATCTTGTTCGAGCCCCCGCCGGCGCTCCCGCTGCTGCCCTCCTCCTCTCCTGCCCAGGGGTTGCGCAGGCATTTAGGGGCCACGGCTAGAAAAACAATCATGACTCTAGTTTAAGTTAGGCTGGTCCAGATCCTCAGAGGGTCAACCCCCCCCCCCTGTAAATTCTAACTAAATTATTGGCATTATCACTATTAGGGATGCAAACGGTTAATCGACTTTAGATTAATTGTCGATCAAGAGGTTGCTCGATCAAAATGTATTAATCACGATTAACCGCTAGAGGGTACTAGCGCTTTACTGTAACTTGAACACAGCGTGAGAACGAGAACACGCCTCGTGTCGCGAGAGAGACCAGGGTTGAAAACAAAATGAAGCGGGCGAAAAGAAGTGCGGTCTTTGGCTCTCTATTTAATTTCTTCTATTCTCTTTTTATGTCTGTTTCAAATGCAAGAACTGAGCCAGGTTTTTTTTTAAATTAAAGATTTTGTTTTACCTTAAAAAGGTGTCATCTTTCTTCTCCTAATGCATAATTACTTGAGGAATGTATAATATAATACAATATAATTATGGTATCATAATGTTGGCTAATGTAATATGATACCTGAATTATATTAAGGCCCTATTGAAGCCCTGAAACTCAAGTGAAAAACGCCGCTTATCAATTAATCGAAAGTCGATCGATAAGATAATCAACTAATGATTAATGAATTAATCGATAATTTGCATTCCTAATCACTATCACTTATTTTAGACCTATATACAGTGGGGGGAATAAGTATTTCACCCCTTGCTGATTTTGCAGGTTCGCCCACTTACAAAGAATGCTTATTTTTCCTCATCAGATGGTTATCAATTTTTATAAATTCATATTATGTGATTTTCTGGAATTTTCTTTGGGATTCTGGCTTTCACTGTTAGAATGTACATATGATTAAAGTTATAGATCGTTGCATTCTTTGTAAGTGGGCAAACTTACAAAAATAAGCAAGGGGTCAAATACTTATTCCCCCCACTGTATATATATATATACACATATAGTTACTTATGTATATATCTATCTATATATGTACAGACATGTATATATGTATATGCTGTTTTATTCTGGAGTTATTAGCAAAATTATTTGCCCTCTGGGATTATTAAAGTATTTCTGATTCTGATTTGGATCGGATCGGCCGCTGACATTTTAAAGTCCGATCCCACATTAGCATTAGCATTAGCATCTGCTGACCCACAGGTCTGTGTCCTAAACACTAAGTTGTTATCAGAGTAAATCCCCGTTCAACATGAGTCTGACAACTAAGACAAAGAAAAAGAATAAAGAAGTGGATATAAAACAGAGTTAATAGACTATTTCATATCCAGGTTGTTTGTGTGTTTTGCCTTTTTAGTACAGTTTACAATATTATTTGCACTTTTTACTGTTCACTGATACCATTTCCGTTTGTTATTTATATTTTAGTTTATTTTGTGTTTATCCGTGAATAAACAGGTCAGTGTCTCTTTACAAACCAGTGTGTGTTATTCAGACTCCCCTAATTCAGCTGCTAGTTGTTATCAGACTAAATCCGTGTTCAAAATTAGTCCGACAACTAAGTAAGTTGATAAATAACTTTAAACTTTAATACGTGGTCTGATAGGCCGGGATCGGATGGGATGTGAAAAAAGCTGGATTGGGACATCCCCAGTTCAAGCTCCTTAATTTCCCAAATTGATTGAAGCAAAAGAGAAATTCCGTTCTTAATTGCAAGTCGCTCCAAAAAGCTGAGGGTAAGTTACGCACCAGCCAGTAGGTTTCCAGACAGCAGAAGAGCGTCTTGGTGCGCAGAGAGATCGAGAGGAAACCAGGCGGAGGACAGCAGGGAGAGCACCATGTTGGCCATTCCCACAGTCAGAGTCCGGCGCTCTGGGTCAGGGGCCGCAGAGGAGGAAGAGGAGGAGGGCGGGGGGGCACTGGACTGGGACAAACTGCACAGCGGGAAACATGGAGAGGATTTACTTGATGTGGAGGAAGAAAACAAAAAGTTAGAACGAACTAGAAAAAGGCTGTGAGAATGCCAAGTGCTGAATAGAGGAAGAAGAAGAAGCCAAGGAAAAGCTGAAAAAGACATAGAACTGAAGAGTTGAAGAAGAATGGCAAAAGGATTAGAAGACCTAAAGAGTGGAAGACTTTAATGGGATTTGAACCAGCGACTGTTCAAACTGAAGTCAAACACTCTACCATTGAGATATACCCCAGTGGGAAAGGTTGCAAATGACTAAATATCAAGAATTTAAAGGGGCTGAACTGCCTGTGACCAGCAGATGGAGCCATGCTTTTGACTCATTTCAATGAGAGAAAATAAAAGCATAAAAGGTTAAATATCTTAAAAAGTTTAAAAGATATGAACACGAAAAGTCATAGCTGCATAATTCTGAGATAGCTGAACATTTTGATACCTTATTTGGTGAAATAGGCTGAAAGCTGCAGGAAGAGTTAGACGCAGAAAAACGTACAGAATATGGAATAATAAAGAGAAACAGGACAACAATAGTGAGAAAGCCAGTAGCCATTATCAAAATAAGGTTGAGTTGACTAACCTGAGGGTTCTGCCTCTGCTGCGGTTCAGATTAGAGCGGGAGGAGGAGTTGCTACAGGAGCTGACGTAGCCACAATGCCAGCCGGTGCTCCACGTGCCGACTGGAAAGTTTGAGGCCAGGAGGCACAACGCCTCACAGCAGCCAAACTAAAACGGAAAAAACGCAACAGTGTTCAAATGTCTCCCGCTAACAAAATCGGAAGGAGAAAGTGGGTGATGATTAGGGGTGGGACGGTTCACAAAATCCATGGTTGGGTTCGATTCACGGTTTCGTGGTCACGGTTTTCGGTTCGTTTCGGTATATGTTGATTGTTAGGAAAATCTATTATGTCTTGTATAGTCAGGTTAAAACTGTCTGACATTTGATACATTATTGTGACAGTCTTAGGTTAAAAGTAGGTGAGATTCTGGCATTGCAAGAGAGGAAACAGTGCTAATTCCAACATGTGCTTCCCTCTAAATGCAAAGTGGTCCATACAGCAGACCTAGAAACTGCTGTTGGCATTTTTATCGGCTACGCTGCTTTGCTTCTTCTTCTTGTTTCCTACTGGTGGTTGGCTTTGGGCGCAGTAGCGCCCCCTTCTGCTCTGGAGTGTAAACGCTTCCCTCTGAGGAAAAGGAGCAGCATGAACCGAACGCAACACACGCGAACCGAACCGAGACAGTCCAACCCAACGGTTCGGACGGTCTTCAGAAACCGTCCCATCCCTAATGATGGTGACTTACAGTTAGAGCTCTGGAGGTAGAGGATGTGAACGCGTGGGAGACGGCAGTAACCACTCGGGAAAGGTTGTTCTCCAGAGTGACGTCAGACACAGAGTTGGAGAAGTTGTAGCCTCGATAAGTCCTGGAAAACAACAGAGTTCAGACCAGGTTCCAAATCCCTTTCTGTTAGGAGTACCTTATGGCAGTGTTTTTCAACCGCTGTGCCTCGGAACACTAGTGTGCCGTAGAAAATCATCCTATTTCACCTAATTGGTCTAAAAAGATTTTTTGATAAGGAATTAATTATCTGTAGATAATTATTGAGTGTCTGTGCTGTACTAGTAACTGGTGGAGTAATCATGTAATAATTCCTTATGACTAGATTTTGTATATAATTTTGTATATTGAAGTGGACATGTTAAGCAATTTGAAAGAAGAAATATAAAATATGATAAAAATAAATGTTTGCCTTTATTTGCTTCCTATTCAAGACACTTAAGGGAAGATAAGAATAAAATAATAATAACTATATTGTTACTATAGGCGGCTACAGATTTGTTTAACATTTTTGGTTGGTGGTGTGCCTCGAGATTTTTTCAATGAAAAACTGTACTTTGGCTCAAAAAAGGTTGAAAAACACTGCCTTATGGATTCACTAGCTTCTCTTGGCAACTCGTCAGTATTATTCATTTATAAATTACACTTTAATACATTTTTCCTACAATTACCGAATTATCTATTAGACCGAATTACCGAAGCTTCCTGGAGGAAACGAGACCCAACTCAAAGCTCGCTGCCCCTGTTAGTGAGGGTGAACCTGGGTTCAAAATCCGTGGGAATTTGGTGTTAGCCAGCATGGTATTAGCCTGATTTTGGTCAGGGCTAACAACTTTTCAGAGTTGTTAGCCCTGACCAAAAGCAGCCTGATTGGTTCTATTCTGTCCTGTGGCCTCAAGCAGACTAAATCTGAATATTTCTTCGTAGCCTCGCGTCAAATTTTGAAATCAACACAGAAAATGGTCTCCTGGAACGCTAATAATATTATTAAAAACCTTTTCAGTTCCTCTCGCTTGGCGGCTCAACCACGTCATGCCTCCAACGATTTAATAAAAATGATGATAAACTGCAGGATAACATGGAGGACGATGGATTTCAAACAAAAATATGTCGTTTTTTTGTTGATTCCCTGTTTATTTTGCTTGTATTTGATATAAAAACTTCATTTCTAACTGGCTTTTTAACCCTCGTTCAGACATTCTAGGACTCCCTGCCTGTGTTTATGTGGAAACAACCACCTCTAAACATGTCACATATCTAAGGCGTGTGAAATGGGAGCAGTGGTCCAGTTGGATGCTGGGGCCGGTGTGCTGGTACCTGGTGATGGTGCTGACTGTGAACTGGGAGGGGGGCTGTGTCTCGTGCATGAGCAGCTGCAGGTGGACCGAACTCTGGTCCCGGGCGATGGCCACCACCGGGTCCACCTGGCCTTGGTCACAGTCGTAGAACAGTTTTGGAACAAGTCTTAAAGGGACAGAGACAAGGAGAGGGTGAGGGAATGATCAAATCAGAAGTTCTGAACAGTAAACAAGAGAAAAAAAAACAAAAAAAAACTTGTCAGTAATATCAGAATCAGAAATACTTTAATAATCCCAGAGGTAGATTATTCATATTAATTATTATATTATATTATTTTTAATAAACAAAATCTGTAAAAAATAAAACACAATATTTACAATATGCTCACTGAGGGCATTTCTACTCATCTTATTAGCATCATTATTACTTTGTTTACATTATTTCCTGAGTGGATGTTTATGACAGCAATGTGTGATGTGCCTCATCCTCTCATCGTCCTTTGATAATCTACTAGATGTGTTTCTAATCTTTACACCTGACACATATCCAGTGATCTGTGGGAGGATTTTGAACCCAGACTGGGAACTAGGGTTGTCAAAAGTAAAGTTACTCAAAATAGTATCAATATTAAAATGTTGTATCCATATACAATACTCATTTTCAAAAGTACCGATACCACAACCCCTGCGCCCCTTCTCTCTTATTTATCTATTTATTTATTTATGTTGTTTATGATCATTAACGTGACATTAGCCATGAATTGCTAGCTGTGGCTAGTGGCTAATAATAAGAGGCCACCGGCCACGATCATCAGTAATAGTTCAGTTTGAAACCAAAGATGAAATTCAGTTAAATTTTGGGGTCTTTGTTTTTATCCTTGTGGTATCAAGTGTCGAATATTTTCCTGAGTATTGGTATCGAGTTGAACATTTTAGTATGGTGACAACCCTACTGGGAACCAGTTGAAGTTAAAGCATGCTGTGGACCTGCTAATGGCGGACGCGGCCACATGTCGGACTCTGGGATCGTCATCTCCCAGCAGATGGAGGACCACGTCGTTCAGGACCCTTTCCTGCAGCCTCAGCCGCTAAACACGAGAAAACAAACTATTCAGGACCACAGCGAGGAGGTAAATGTTGACCCAACGTTAGAATTTGCATTTGTTTTTCTTTCTTTACAGCAAAGAATAGGATAAAGTTGGACTTGCCCCCGTGTAGTGATGATCTCCTTTGTGCAAAGTGTCGCTTTTCCTTTCCAAGTAGTGAACTAATCTAAAAACAGGAAGAAAGAGCAGAAACCCTGAACAGGTAAGCACAGGTAAGTAGGCTAGTCCCGATCCGATATCTGGATCGGATCGGCCGCTGATATTTGCAAAAAAATGCATCCAGTTTTTAAAAAAAAGTGTGATCCATTTTCCAGCACACAGATTAAAATAAACCATTCAACTTTGCCGTTTTGTTCCCTAATATCCGGTCCAGTCATTTTCCAGCACACCCTTAAGCATTAGCATTAGCATTAGCATCTCCTGACCCACAGGTCTGTGTCCTAACCATTAAGACGGCCATGTTCATTTGAAAGTATCGGTAAAAATGTCAGTTGTGTGGGATTATTTCATCCTATTTTGTGTTCCTCCCTGAATAAAAAGGTCAGTGTCTCTTTACCAACCAGTGTGTGTTATTCAAACTCCCCTAATTCAGCTGCTGGTTGTTATCAGAATAAATCCCTGTTCAACATGAGTCTGACAACTAAATAAGTAGATAAACAACTTTAAACTTTAATACATGCTCTGAAGTGAAAAAAGATGGATTGGGACATCCCTATAGGTAAGAGATACATCCTGGTAGATTTTCCTTCATTTAAAGAGGATTTCATACCCCCCCAAAAATATAAATAAATAAATAAATAAAGTGTTGACAAATCTTACCGGAAGTCCAGTTCAGCCAGAGTTTCTAAGAGCTCGGTGCGGACGAGCCAGTAGGAGCAATCCTTCAGAGCGAACAGGTCTATGACCACCTGCAGGCCGAGCTCGCTGAGGGTGCTGCTGCACAAAGTCATGATGCAGTGCTGCCACGCACACAAGCAAAAGTCAGACTCACAAACACACAGCCGGCACACAACCCCCAACACAGACGCCTCTTACCCTCACGGCCGAGCACGCCATCTTACAGGTGACGGAGGACTCGTCCTTTAGAGTTTTCTGGACCAAAGGCACCAAGTCCACCAGGGACAGCGGGTTACCTGGAGAGCAGGTGTGTGTGTGAGGACTCAACCTCGTTTAAAGGAGACATATTATACCCTATTTCAACAAGTTAAGCTAGTTCCCTGGTGTCCTAATGTAATGTCTGTGACAAGCTTTGGTCAAAATCCCATAAGGATGAAGCCCAATAGCAGTTCAGTCCCCCTGCCTAACCCTAACCCTAACCCTAACCCTAACCCAAAACAGCCCCGTTCAGAGCGCTCGCTTTGGAGTGCCTGTCTCTTTAAATGCAAATGAGACACAGCCAATCCGCCCACTTCTTCGGGGAGGTGTGCCCACGTCGGCACGCTAACGCTACCATGCTAACGCTACCACGCTAACGCTACCACGCTAACACTACCATGCTAACGCCACCATGCTAACGCTACCATGTTAACGCTACCATGCTAACGCTCACGCTACCAGGACATCTCCACAGATAGGGGAGTAAGCAGAGGGGGGGGGGGGCAACA